TTGGGATTCTCTCTCTCCCTCTCTCTCTGCCCTTCCCCCGCTCACACACTCTCCCTCTGTAAATAAGCAAGTAAATAAATAAATAAAATTACCTAAAAAATACATTTAAATAAAAGAGTCGCTTAACTGACTGAACCACCTAAGCGCCCTTCCTTACTCTCTTTTACAGGCTGGCAGGGAATCTCTCACACTTGGTCCTGCATCAGAATCACCAGGAGGGCTTGTTACATTACAGCTTCCTGGGTCCCATGCCCACAGTTCCTGAGTCAGTAGATCTAGGGTGGGTGGGAGCTGACCGTGCCATTTCCAGCAAGTTCCCTGATGATGCTGAGGATACTGGCCAGGGACCACTTTGAGAACCACTGCCCTGCCACTCCTTCTGTCTCAACCCTTGGCTGGCTCCAAACACCAATCTTTGGCCTGCTGCAGGGCCTTTGGCTTTCGGATTCCCTTGGCCCCCAGATCTTAACACGATTGGCCTCATTCATGTCACGATGTGATGAAGTGATTCATGCCACTTAGGCCTCAACTCAAATGTCATCTCAGAGATGCCTTCCCTGACCAAGAGTCAAATGGTACTCTGCCACTTTTATTTAAGTTTTTAAATGTTTATTTTTTGAGAGAGAGAGAGAGAGAGAGAGGCAGAGCACAAGTGGGGGAGGAGCAGAGAGGGAGACAGAATCTGAAGCAGGCTCCAGGCTCTGAGCTGTCAGCACAGAGCCGGACGTGGGGCTCGAACTCACACACTGCGAGATCATGAACCAAGATGAAGTCAGTGCTTAACCGACTGAGCCACCCAGGGCCCTGGTTTTTATTTATTTTAGAGAGGGAGAGAGAGAGGGACCAAGACTTGGGGAGGGGCAGAGAGAGGGGGGGACAGAGGATCCACAGCAGGCTCTGTACTGACACCAGAGAGCCCGATGCAGGGCTCCAACTCACGAACTGTGAGATCAGGACCTGAGCCTAAGCTGAAGGCTTAACAGACTGAGCCACCCAGGCGCCCCCCTCTGTCACTTTTTAGTACATCCTTCTGTGTTACTTCTTCAAAGCAATTCCTACAATCTGAAACAAGCTAATGTATTATCCGTCTCTGCCCTGCCCCATCCTGAATATACTATACTTGTTTGTCTTATCTGGGCTTGGCACCTTGTAAATATTCAGGAAGCGGTTGCTGAATGAACGGGTGCATAGAACAATGACAGAAAAAGGGGGGAAGGATTGTTAGAAAAAAATGAGGGGTGGGGCGCCTGGGTGGCTCAGTCTTCAGCTCAGGTCATGATTCCACAGTTCATGAGTTCGAGCCCCTCATCGGGCTCGCTGCGGTCAGTACAGAGCCCGCTTTGGATCCTCTGTCCCCCTCTCCCTCTGCCTCTCCCCCACTTGTGCTCTCTCTCTCAAAACTAAATAAATACCTATTTTTTTTCAACGGTTTTTTTTTTTTTTTTTTTTTTTTTTTTTTTTTTTTTTTTTTTTGGGACAGAGAGAGACAGAGCATGAACGGGGGAGGGGCAGAGAGAGAGGGAGACACAGAATCGGAAACAGGCTCCAGGCTCCGAGCCATCAGCCCAGAGCCCGACGCGGGGCTCGAACTCACGGACCGCGAGATCGTGACCTGGCTGAAGTCGGACGCTTAACCGACTGCGCCACCCAGGCGCCCCATAAATATCTATTTTTTTAATAAAAGAAAAACAAAACACGTTTGGAGACTTGGAAGAAGAGAAACAGGGGACAGCCAGGGGGACAGCCTCTAGCATCACTCGGTGTCCTTTCCCTTCACCCGCTCTCCCCACCTGCTTATGAAGCCAGCCTCGGATGTGCACCGGAAGGTTGGGGTCCCTTCTGAGTGCATTGCCTCTCTTCCCGAAGGCGTGCACCTTGCTTACTGCCCGGGTAGGCTTCTGAGGAGAGAAGGAGGACAGATGTGAATGGGGCCTTGGATGGGCTTGGGGGAGGCGGTGCATCGGGAGTCAGGCAACCCAAGACCCAACCTCAGCCGCCCTCAGAAACCACCCAAGGAGGGGACTGAATTCTGAGATCAGAATTGGATGTGCGCATTACAGAGCTAACGGACGCTTTTAATGGGCGGACGGAGCTGTTTGGGGGAAAGGAAGAGACTACTGGCTGACGAGGAAGGAATTTGGGGATCAAGGGTCTAACTGAGCCAGAGATGTAGTGCAGTCTTTGGGATCTGAATTGGAGGTCTTGCCTGGGAGGTCCCCATAATCAAGAAAGATCTCCATGCAGAGTCCCTGGTGATGGGTCAGCTGAATGGAAGGATGTTTCAGTGCCAGGGAGTGACATCCCTGAGCAACCATGACCAGAGACAGACGGTTCCAAATCCCTCCCTCCCAATAGGAGAGGAGCCCCTTCTCCTGTTGACCCAGGCATCTCCAGCATCCATAGCCAGCGTCCCCCAGGATGCCCTGCCCTGGGGATGGCACTGAGTTGGGATTGAATCTCTAGATTCTGAGCTTGGTAAAGTCTAAATGAGTGAAGAGAATGGCAGAGGACAGGGAAATGAGTGTCACTGAACTTGGGGCTGGGGCGATGACTTGGGAGGCAACTATCTCAGCCCTCTTGAGAAAGGTCTTTTCCTTCTCGGGTTTCAGAACTGGGTAGATTGGATGGCTGGAGCTGGGACAGGGAGTTTTCAGTCCCAGTCAAGGGTAGTCACCGCCTGAATTCCTGGGGAGAGCCTCATGGCTGGGGAGTAGCCTTAACTTAGCAACCAAGTCAAGGGAGATTGTGACTCTGGCTTTGAATTGGGAAAACAGGAGGGGTGGAGACAGCTGGGAGCGTCTCTAAATTCCTAGCTGGGGCTAGTGGGCAACTGGGGACCTTACTAGGTGTGGCAGATCCCATCGCTAAGGATCCTGGCTCCTAACAACAGAATCCCTTGGGTTGGCACGGAACCAGGGCTGGGAAAAAAGAGGATGGGGCAGCCCAGAGCCCCGCCTACCTCCCCGGCCCTTCCAAGAAGCTCAAACCTTGGTGCTCAGGCTGCCCAGGGAGGAGATGGTGGAGACGCTGCTGGCCAGGCTGAGGCTGCTCCGGGGTCTGCCCTCCTCCATCAAGGGCTTGGGGAGAGAAAGAAAGGGGCTGTGTGCGTGTCTCTGCAGCTGACCCGGCTGGGGACAGAGACGGGGTCAGGGGCTCGCAGGTCGGAGGAGGCTGAGGAGAAAGAGCCTGTTGTCTGGGGACTGGGGGGCTGGGGGAGGCCCTGGCCCGGGACTGCATACCAAGAGCGATGCCAAGAGAGGTGGGCGGCATTGGCAGCTGCGGGGAGGGGGGCAGCTGTCTGCCGCCCAAGACAGGGAATAGGGGCTCCTTTATTCTTGCCCCCTGCACTCTCGCCAGGAATTTGACCCTCTCTGTGCTTAGGGAGCCCCATTCCTTCGCGGCTGCCCCCAGCTACCTGTCTCCAGCCCTCCCACACGCACCCCTAGGCCATCCCTGCCAAGCCCGGACGCCAGGAATGCACACCCAGGCAGTCCCTCCCAGGCCAGCCAGGGAACTTACCAGCTCTGGGGTCCCAAGGATGGGGGTAAGAGGGCCGTGCGGGCGCTGGGGCACCCAGCTGCAGTCTCCCTCCTTTTCTGGCTCTTGGGTGCTGCCTCTCAGACCTGTCTGCCTTCTCACCTGCTCACCTGCTCACTCGCACACTTCTTGCTTTGTGTCACTTCTGGTCCCTCTTGCCTTTTTTTAGGCTCCTAACACCTTGTCTCTGGCCCCAGCTTGTCTATTTGTCTCTAATCTGTCTCTTCCAGTCTCTCTCTGGCTCATTCTCTCCC